CACTTTATTATCGCTTTCTGGCCCACGTGTGATAACGTCCTTAGTGTTATCATAAATTGAAAATGACTTAAAGGCAGACAACAATAAACAATTCATCCCTGTACAGGTCTCTATGGGAGAAGATCTTAATGGGGCATTAGAGAGCCCTTCCTCACTATCACAAAGTATGGAGATCAGTTCAACCTACCAAGTGAGAGCACAGTTTAACAAAATGCTGTAACAACAGAGTCCAATTTAAAGCCATAGAATGGGATTTAGTCTTAGCTGCCCAAGGCCCCACTGCTGCTAATGGGATTGAATCATACTATGTCTCTTGCCAGCAGAAGTCCATTTTTGTAATGCGATAATTTATTTATAGGCTTTATCCAGCATTTATTGTCCTGTATTTACTTGTAGGAGTCTGTCTCCTCTTTCACTCACTGTTGCCCTTTGGCAATACCAGTACTTGAAGGGATTGAGTTACAACTGGCTCAAAGAGGTTTTGCTTTGGTTTTTAATCTTACTTCTCTTGAACTTGGAATGGAAATAAGGCTGCAACTTCTGCCAGTTTACATCATAGTTGTGCAATTACTCTTGATGCTAACTTCTGATTTATCGGGTGCCAGCTGCTAAGGGCACTGCATACATAGAAGGCAAAACTCCCTTGCCTCCCTTAAGAACACAATTCAGGAAGGGAGACAGAAGGAGAGGTAACATAGGGTGATGAAGACAAACAATGACAAGGAGGGAAAGTTGATGCAGAGTTTTGATTTGCTGTGTGAATCCTATACACAGTTTGAACAGTAGGCTGGTCTAGCCATTGCCCTCCGAAATTGGAAAAGTTACCTTTTTTGGTTTGCAACTCCAGGATCCTCCAATGAATACACACTGGTTGAAGGATTCTGGGAGCTGAAGTTCAAAAAAGTAACTTTTCCCAGCTCTGCTTGCCCCTACTCTCCACACAGGCTGCCTGCCTTCCAAGAACAAAAACAAAGCAAAGCATTACAGTGGATGTTTGTTCATTCATCCATCACTTAATTAAAACAAAACAAAGCAAATCTGTTCCAGGGATTGAAAGGAAGGGGAGGCAGTTTTCAAACATCAAATCACCAGTCATGGATCCCATGAGTCTTAAATGTGAAGCTACATTCCTTCCCTTCGCTTCCTCCTTTTTACATTGAGCCAGAACTTCAATCTGTTTTGCTAGTATTGCCAATAATGCCTGGCAGAGGCTTTCCAAGGTTTCAGGCAGGGTTCTTTTTCCACTTGGTCTGGAAATGTAGGGGCCAAGCCTGTGTTGCAGTGTTGAGTTACAGCCACTCTTTGTGTTTGCCACAAGTACCATGGGCCTGTTCACACTACACAATTATAGTGCTATGATTCCACTTAATTCAGCCTATGGTGTCCTGGGACTTGGAGTGAAAATAGTAGTGTTTAGAAGTCTCAACCATGGAGAGTTTTGTAATTTACCAAACTACAAACTCAGCATCCCATAGGATGTTGCTATATCAGTTGAAATGGAATTTAGTGCAATAATCATGTAGTGTGAATATCCGCCATGTTTAAACAAGTCTTGTTTAAACTAAGATATGAGAGCCAGCGTGGCATAGTGGTTTGAGTGTTGGACTATAATTCTGGAGTCCAGGGTTCGATCCCCAGCTCGGCCATGAAATCCACTGGGTGACGTTGGACAAGTCACATGCTCTCAGCCTCAGGGGAAGGCCATGGCAAACCACCTCTGAACAAATCTTGCCATGAAAACCCCATGATAGGGTCATCATAAGTCAGAAATTACTTAAAGGCACACAACAGCAACATTTAGAGAAGAGTGAAACATATGTCCACCACTCAAATGGTAACAGTCCTGGAGTTTATAGGTCTGTTGATCATGCCAAGGTTCAGAAACATGACCACATACTACAGGGACCATCCTCTGCCTGTCTCATTGTGGGGCTTGGGGAAGGAGGCTTAGGTTTTCTCTGTGTTTCAGTGTGCTTTGAAGGTATTTAGAGCATTGGAAATTATGGGGAATTGCCCCTGCCGTTTCACTGTGTTTGAAGGTGTTCTTACATCAGAGATGCAGAGGAATCTAGTAACAACTTTGAGACTAACCGAGAGAAAGAAGCTGGTAGGATTTCACAGTCAGCATCCATAGTTTTTTGTGGGTTTTTCAGGCTCTGTGGCCATGTTCTGGAAGAGTTTCTTCCTGACGTTTCACCAGCATCTGTGGCTGGCATCTTCATCTTTCTCTAAAGATGCTAGCCATAGCTGCTGGCGAAACGTCAGGAATAAACTCTTTCAGAACATGGCCACATAGCCCAAAAAAAACCCCCCACAAAAAACTATGGTAGCTCGAGCTTTCCTAGACTTGAGCCTATTTCTTCACAAGCACAAGGACATCTGAAGAAGTAGGCGCAAGTTTAGGAAAACCCGTGCTACCAACTTCTTTGTTTCAGTTAGTTTCAGAGGTGCTACTAGATCTTTTTGCATACTGATTTTCAGACTGCTGTGTCTTTGAATTCTATCACATTGGAGATAATACACTTTCCTTCCTCCAAACCACAAATTTTGGCTGGATCCCAAGGCCATTGATTGATTAATACCGCAGTGTTCTGGCTGAAGTTAACCGAGGTTTCTCTTGGCGAGGCAATAATGGTAACACCCTGAAACTGCAGCCAGCAGAGCTTCATGCAAACCCCTTGTTTCAGTCTGATGTTAGCAATGGAGTGCTTATTGAATTCCCAAGGATTTGGGGATGAATAGTGGTTGCATAAAACCTGGCTAAGTCCTAGAGACTAAGCTTTTCAATTCGAGTACATTGCCAGTAGAAAATTTGCTTTGAAGGAAGATTTTGTTTTCTACAGAGTTCATTGCTGTTTCCAGGGCTTGGAAGTAATATGTAAAGAGTAATTCATTATTCTTTTTTAAAGTAATTGGGTAACATCTTTACTATTAATCGTTTAAATAAGACATAAATTTTAAAGGATAACACTTTTCTCATTACTTCAAAATAATACTTGGGGAGTCATTTTGGAGAATTTCTGATTTAGGACCATTTTTCACATTTTAAAAGTCAATTCAATTTCATTTTAAAATTAATTTAAAAGCAAAGCATTAGTAACACATTGGAAATAAAACGCTACAGCCAATGATTTACTTTTTAAAAATAAAAGTGACACTAATATGTTAGCTTTCACAGTTAACATTTCCAAGTTCTGCTGATCTTCTAAGTAACCAATTCTATTTGTTATTTTCAGCCGCTGAGATTGAATAATCACGGATTTAGCGGAAGCAAACAAATATAGCATCTGCTTTAATTACAACAATCTGTACATTTAGGGAGACTAAAACAACTAGAAAATTAGAATACCCACCCCTTGCATCCTGTTTCCAAATTGCAGACTTAATTTGAAACAACAGCTGACTAGTATTCACTCTGTTATCTGTATACTGTAATTTCTATGGTACATAATCCATTCTATTTGCAAGTAAATACTATATGTCCTTTGGCAAATTGACTTTAGTCTCTGAGCACCAAAACGTTTTCGTGGCTTGTATGTCAGTGTCATCAAAACAATTTCAGTTAACAGTAATTGACATTTCATTGGACATCTGGAAAGAGGTGAATGTGACCTTTGGCTAGCAATTAAATATAAAATAAAAATATCTTCGTGTCTTTATAAATTGCTCCTGTGATAGAACTTGGTTATTCTTACTGCTGAATAAGCATAATTTATATTCCAGGGTTGGAACTGAAAGATTTATATTCCAAGGTTGGAACAATAAGTGTAAGTCTTGATATAATATGGAATCTGATGAAAGTATTTTGGAGATTTAGGTTGTCGAAAAGCCTGTCACAAAGATGGTCCCGCCATTAGAAAAATTGAATCCACTTCTTTAGGTGGCAGCTTCTGAGTGCATGTTTTCCCCATCTTGGTGTTTCTAGGTTAGACAGCATCATGGGATATAAACGGATTTTGTTCTAATTGCAAAACTGATCCAAAGTGGGTTTTTTTATTTTTTGTTTTATTATGGCAAAAATGTACATATATAAACCAAAGGTGTGTGAAATGACGGGTGAAGTGGGGGAATAAAATTGTTCTTTGCTCATAAGGATCAAGGACTAAATGTAATTGTTAGTCCCAACTAGAACAGATCCACTGACCCAATGGGACTTACATTAGTGAAGATTTACCAAGCTCCCATTGATTGATTGGGTCTACTTACAAAGATCCAGGGGTAGCCATGTTGGCCATATAGCAATTACAGTAATAACAAAACCCCACCAAACAGTCATACCTTTATTGGGCCAACCAAAACGCACAATATACATGTTGCAAGCTTTTGAAGCCTCACTGGCTTCTTCATAACACCTTGCCTGATGAAGAAGCCAGTGAAGCTTCAAAATCTTGCAACATGTATATTGTGCATTTTGGTTGGCCCAATAAAGATATCACTGGTGGGTTTATGTTATTACTGGGTCTACTTACAATAAGCCCAATTAGGCTCTTTCAAATATTATTAAATGTTTGTTGAGATTTTAAAACATACAACAACATACAAAACATAAACATTCACACCAAAATATTGACCCTTCCCTCCCTCCCCGCTTAATATAGAACCTTCATCTATATATACATCCAAACTATTTATGGCATATTTACATCTCCCAACCCCCCTTTTCCCTCCCTTATTTAAAATAAAGACTTCCCATTTCTCTCAGAATGTGTCATAAAAAAATCATAAATACTCCTTGTGTTGCTCTACTTTTTTACTTTCTTGCTTTTTTATCTTCCTTAGCCAGCATTGCTTTCTATGCTTAGGTTATAAAATACATGCTCCGCCAGCTAGTTTTCAAATCCATAAGTAGTTATTTCCCTTTGATACCTTCTTTACATTGTATAAAGCAGGGGTAGGCAACCTTTTTGAGCCGGGGGCCGGGTTGCTGTCCCTCAGACAATTGGGGGGCCGAAGCACCAAAAATTAATTAATTAATTAATTAATTAAAATTAAAAAAAAATAAAAAAAATTAAAAATATGCATGCATACTCTCTCAGCCCCAGAAAAGCCATGGCAAAACCCCTGTGGAGATTTTGCCAAGAAAACCCCAAGAACAAGTAATAACAACAATAATATCATCATGGCGGGCGGCGGTGGTGGCAGGACTGGCCTGGGGCTGGTCCTAAGGCCTCAGGGGGCCACATCTGGCCCCCGGGCCTTAGGTTGCCTACCCCTGGTATAAAGGGTCCCCAAGTATCTAGAAAAATAAAAATAAAAAAATCTGGTGTGTTCTCTTTGACTAAATTGGATTTTTTTCCCCATTTAGGCAATTTCCACTAGTTTTTTCCGCTCATTCCTTATAATCCAGTAATATATTCATTTCCCAATATCTAGCTAACACCACTCTAGCTGCTATTACCACATAGCTAATTAAACTGTAATTTTTCTTTATCCTTTTACCCTCATGACTTATCAAATTTAATAAAAAAAGACATTTCCAGTTTCAAATTCACTTTAAATCCTATAATCTTTTGTATCCATTTACTAACTTTAAGCCAACATTTCTTAACTCTCTCACAGCTCCACCACATATGGAAAAATGAATCAACTTGGCTTTTTTTTCAGCATAGTCCATTTCTTGGAGACACTAAACCAGACCTTTGGATAGTTAGTTTTTTGGACTAAGACTCCCAGAATCATCCAGGATATTCTAGGAATCTTAATCCAAAAAGGTGTTCTGAGAACACTAGTAAAAAAAAAAAAGAGAGAGAGACCCACCCTCCCAATTTTGCATTGAAAGCATACTGAAATATTAGGGAAAAGGGATATAATATTGGGAACTGGATTTGATACGGAGGTGGGAAAATGCCAGTATCTGAAATTCTGGATTTTTAACATCAGAGTAAATATTGCTCAACTGATGCCACAATTCTTAAAGTGCATTTGCAGATGCCAGACAGAACTTTTAAGTGGAAAAGGGAAAAGCTTTCTAATATGTCTGTTTCTTTTGATATGTGGTATATACAATATACTCTTCTGGGAGGAAAAATTGGAAGTGAAAGCTCTTCTGCTGTATTCAGGGCAACAGTGATTAACGTTGTAAGGTGGATTCAAAGATACAGGTTTAATGGGGGAAAATAGGTAATTAGTTTGTAAATTGTTCTGTGATTATACATGTGCAAAAATATATCAGTAAGGTGTTATATGCTTTTAAAAATTTGGTCTTTAGACTAATGCATTCATAAAATATTCATGAACCATGAAAAAATATGAGAAGATGCAGCATCCAAAATACTATGGCATTTTACATAATCACAAGCATTTAACAATATGATTTATGTGAATCTTGCTTTCTAAACAATTATTTGGAGATTTTCCAAAAGAGAGAAAGGAAAAATAAATTTGTCTTGATCCAAACATTTGTTTGAAAATAAGGGTGAATTCTAATATAATGCTGGTGAAGCAATAAGCCCCACAAAAGGCTACCATTAAAACCAGAATATAGAGAGACAGAGTGGTTCCCGATCGGAAGGGGAGTCAGACAAAGATGTATTTTATCACCCTATTTGTTTAACTTATATGCAGAAAATATCATGCACAAAGCAGGCGTAGACTCAGAGAAAGGATGAGTGAAGGTTAGAGGAAGGAGTATCAACAACCTAAGATA